TGTGCGTTGAGCGATTCTTTAGGCATTTATCTCTATCCAATCGTATCCGTCCATATTAACTAGTTAAGTGGGCAAAATGTCCGCAAGGGGATAATATAGTTTACATTGCGCTGGATGTAACATTAGTGACTGAAATTATTTAAACCAATCAATGCAAGGAAGCGTGTGGGACAAATTTTACGGGTCTATCATATATATATATATATATGTGCAGGAGGGACGACGGCAAGAAATTTCATTTTAGGCAAGGAAGGAAAATGCGCAGAGGGCTATAATACCAAGACAATTTTATTACTTTTGCAGTGGCGGAGGAGTTTCGACCATAAAAATGTGACTGCAGTTGAAGAACGAGCCTTGATGCCAGTAAACCGATGCGGCGTTAGTACATCTGCATGTATTATTATAGAAAGGACTCTGTAATTATACTAGTGACCATGTAACAGGATTGCAGGGGCTGTCTTCGCCTGCCGTTGCTCTAAGTGATTAATAGGTAAAAACTGTGCAAAATGTCGAGTGTAGATATAATTTGCTTGACCATAATTGAAGCTATTAATGTGGTAAGTAAGATTCTTCGAGTACCATGCAACGCAACAGTGAAGTTACAAAGGGAAAACTGCGTTGTTTTTCCACCATTAGGAGTGACATAACAGCGTCTGGGAAATAGGACATTAGGGACATGATCATATAAATATTAAGTTCCAAAGAGAACCTGAAAAATGAATATAAATTGCTCTGTTACTGCTCTCTAATAGATTTAGATGGATACAGGTTGTTTCCTACAATTCAAAACGTTGTTTATATTATTTTTCAAGTATAATCCAGCTTTTTCAGTATCAAAACAATATCCCATTAGATTTTGTTCACAAGGCATCCATCTGTGTTTTGTGTCGTAAAGGGTTGCGATAAGATCAAAACGTTTCTGTTTTATAACTACACTTCATGATAGCTATGAAATTCATCTTTATTATGTAATATCATACACAGTAAAATGGGTGAGAAAGTCATACACCAATAAGCAGATCACGTTCTAACAGTAACAAAAACCCAACACATAATCGCACATTGGAGATAGGTGTAACAAAAGGCAGCCGTACGTATAGAGCACATAAAAACCTCGTATTTCATAATTTCCGATATCAAATGCTTCCCTACGATAACCACAATGGATTTATATAGAAGGCAAGTACGTCTGATAGCCATTCCCTTCCGGGAAACATGGGCCGCTCTCTGATCCACCATCACGGTCCGTACGATGTGCCTCAGAGTTTTTCTTTCTTCGTACCCCCAAATGACGCTATGCCGGCGTCTTTGCCCTGAATAGAGAATATTTCACAGCCGGTACAGGGCAAGCTCTCCATCTGCTGTTCTCTCTTACCGTCTATCTTTTTCGCACTCTCCGCAGAACATGAGATTATTCTGCCACAGGACTCATGTAATTATGCTGTTATTATGCCACATAGGGTTCCGCGTCCGGGCTGCTACGATATGGCGTAGTGAAGCCGGGAGCCCACAGTAAAGGAGGCTATAGTAGCAGCAGCATCAGCACTGGAAGCAGAACAGCCAAATAGCGAATTCTAATTAGACCCAATTGCTGCTCTTCAGGCCAAAGAAACGGTCGGGCGTCCAGAAGAGAAGCATATCGTTGGCAAGCAGAATGTTAAAAGATCTTGACACGCCAATTCCTGTGGCTCCGACCACGACTTTTGCTGGCCAAAGCCGTTTGCGCGAGCTATCCAGGAAGTCTAGCTAAGTACCTCCTCATGTTGGGTCGCCATGTTAATATTTGCTGCACGAACAACGCATTTTCGGCGCGTACATTTACATGCTCCTAGAAAACTTGCGAACGACACCCACAGAGACTATTTTAAAAAGTAGATAGATAAATAGATAGGTGTGAACTTCTACAGAAGATTCTACTAATTCAAGGATGATATTACCTTAATTACTACTCATACCTTGGTTTTGATTTTATAGAAATGGTATGTCCGTGGTAAACTGCGCGAATGTAGTAAGCCCGTTATGATATTATCAATATAAGGACGATTATTGTGCTTAACTGGACGTCCCCATTTTGCCAAATCTGTTAATACATAAATCCATAAATATATTAGATATCAGCCAAAATGGACTAGAAGCACGACGTGCAAACGCTCCGCATATAATTTTCTTTATTTATAAAGCAGTGCTTCATAAAACGGTATATTTTAGGTGAGGGACGATTTAGCTAGTCGTATGCCTCATCTATTTTGTTCACTGACATAAAGATCATTGTTTGTTAGAAAGACCTTATTTAATGTGGTAAAGTGTATATTTTTTTTTTATTTTTAAAGGATTCGCCCAGCTCTTTACTAGAATACTTTTACTGGCAGCAAAAAGTCACGCAATTATATCGTAACCGGACATTCCGGTAATCTTTGCTGAAGGGAAAAGATTCCAAAGAGTCGTTATAAAGGAAATCAAACCTTCAAGATTTTTATGTCAACTAAGTTACATTTTGACAAGGGCTTTGCCGTTCTTAGTAAGGATTAGTAAGCCCTATTTTCTGAATATGTATTTATAAGACAAAGACAATAACATATTAACTACCGTTAATTAAAACCGTTAATCTTTGCTTAATTTCGGCTGTAACTCACCGAACATCGATACATACTGTGGACAAACGCTTCTTATTCTAACTACACGGCTTGTCTTAATCAAATCCTGTTTTAACAAAACGATGGTTTCTCATCCCTGTCATAACGGAACGGATTGTGGTAAACACTTCATCTGTTAGCTCAGTGTTTTCGTGGCTACCGTACTTGAAGAGGAGAGGTGGCTATTAGACCTATATCGAGTTACAGGAAGGAAGGAAAACACAAAATAGGGTGACGGTGGTAACTCGAAATGAGTAGACATTGTCTCTAAGCCAACTTGGCTGGGCATAGCTAGAACAACAAAGCAGAACGACAGCTGACGCTGAGGGTTACTTCGGAGCTACATCCTGGAAAGCGGTTTGCCTCCACTTAGATGTTGTAGCACTGGCCTTCTCCTCCCTCTTTTTACAGAGTCCACCCACTTGTTAGCAAATTTAACTTCCTGCGGCAAAGCTACTTTTTTTGGTGACGCCAAACAACACGATCTCACTTGTTTAACATACGACGAAGATAAAAAAAACGGCTGTCGGTAATACACAACTAGTGGCTTCCGGCATTAATTATGTTTCGTAGTTGTACTGTTTCGTCAAATACCCTAGAAAATAAACGATGAAACTGCAACACTAAGATCAAATCCTATACATCTGCTTATGTGATCATTTGCCTTAGTAAGTCAGATTTCTACTCATACTCAAAGAAAATATTGCAGGACCTGCAAGACTTTACAATGACAGTCACAATCTGCAAAGGTTTCATATTTGGGCAGATAAATCCTCCGCCTTAACTTGATGGGTTTCGTCATAATTTACGTTGCAAAACAACTATCTGGTCTCAGGTTGTGGCTGTTCCTAACACTTATGTAAACGCAAGGAACTGTCGCATTGCCGGAAGCACATCAGTAGTAGTAGTAGTAGTAGTTGAAGCGTTTCTCTCTTAACGACGCAATGTACCCTTGTGGGATTTAGGCAAAGATGTTCCTTATTTAAAATCAGTCATACGAGCGCACCCGACATTCAAGCACAGTAACTCGAAGCATGCCTCTCAGCCTAAAGCAAATATATATTTTTAACTGGACAGTGTGGATCCGTTGTCTATATTGAGCCGCTGCAATGCTTGTTAAACATAAACATATGCTAGACATAATAACATTAGGCATCTTAGTTTTCCCGTTACTACCAACGATACTCGATGCCGCAAGCAGACGGCTTGTTGGAGCAGCAAAGACGGCAACAAAATATCAAGTGAAGTTTATTATAAGTAGTTGTATTGAAAGAAGTTTGCAGCTCACTGCATTTGCAGTACCTAGTAAACCCAGCGGAGTGGACGAACGCGGTCCACAATGTATTGGTCCAAAACGCTTTGGTCCAACCTGGCAGGTAGCCATTTGATTAGATCATACGGATAAAGCCAACCAGCCGGTTCTGAGGTGATCTAACTTCTCTCAGTTTCAGAATAGATGGTTAAGATGGAGTCTCGTTGCCGACTTCACTGGACTCTAACAATATGTGGTGAGCAAGGGCGAAACACCCAATAGACACAAGGGCTCACAATAGTCTAGTGCCATTGCACTTTATGGAATGCCACTGGCGTTCTCCTTGCGCACGGTCGGTCGACCCTGGATGCCTTCCTGAGGGCTGGCCACCGAATCCTGAGAGAAAGGAGTCCTGATTAGGATTTATAGAGTCAGAGGGAGGCCTGCCGGCTACTCACGCATGCTACGGACATCTTCTCAAAGAATTGAGAGCAGTATTTCCTAGCAGAACCTAAACTCTTCTAAAGAAAAACAACTACTTCTTGACTGGAAGCTAAAATTAAACTCGCATCTCTGTAATTCATTGCGTATATGCCGCGCTGGACCAACCAATCAGGTTTACTGAAAGTTTTTTTTTATTTACAGACCTGAGAAAATTGCTTATAACTTCTCTGTATATCAGTTAGAAACGGTTGACTTACGCGGCCTAATATAAGCGAAAAATATGTGTAACGCCTCATAGTATTTCCTGTCGATTACATTCCCTTATTGCATGATACTAGCTCTGTATAGGAATAACATATTTAGGCAGTTATGATTCTAATTCGTCTCTTGGAATAACCGTTGTCGTTCTAACGATTTTAGTTGAAAGGTTATAACGTGTGATCTTTGTTAATGCTAAATTCTGAAATTATGTTACTACAAATCTGAAGCATTACTTTTTTAATGCTTAACAGTTTGTCTTGACAAATTCGAAATGGACACGATACATCGGTGCTTTGTGGACGTCTGAAAAGGTCGATTTCCGCAAACAATAGCTCGCCTGCCTTGGTATGTCTGAAAAAAGAATATTTCATAATGAAATTTGTATTTTACTATATGTCACGGCTACTTACCATGTTAAGTACAGTGAGTAGATACGTTTCAATATCCTCGTTGCTATAGTAATCGAGCATGGTGCGGTCAGCGACGAGTAATGTCTCAACGTTACGTTCAATGCTTACACTTCGTTTATTTCGTCGTCGGCTAGGGCCAGAACCTATGCCTGCTCCTGACGTTTTGCGACGTAGTCGCCGTTCATACTTCATGCGTTCCCGGTAGCCAGCTTCAAAGTGTTCTAAAAGCCAAAACAGAAATAGTGAACGTTATGTTAATGTCGTGCGTTCATTCGGATAGCAGGCCGCATATGCTATTTCCCGCTAATTCTACATCGTAGAAGTACTACGATAGCGTTATTATATATGGAAGCGCTAAGAGTACCACCTCAAAGCATAGGCGTACTAGATACTGTTCACACAATTGCTAAGCTCTTTCACTTCAACTAACCGGCAACTTGAAGCAAGCAAACATCATGGCTCTGCGATGAAAACAACCCGATTTTACCATTGGCATCCAGGAAGAGACCGTTGGTTAAATGGCCGCCCAATGAAATAAAAGGATTCAGCTGTGGGTTACTCCAGAGCTCTTCTGAAGTTAAAGCTAATCCTGGGATTTCAACGACAAAAGCTCAATTAACATTTACCTGTCTTCTTTTCGTGCTCTTCGCGACCTGCCTAGTTCAATCGTCTTGGCGCAATGGCTCAAAGATGCCCAGCCTCCGGCCACTAGACTGCGACTAATGGTGGGATCAACTACAGCGGCTTTGACGGTCATTCTGTAAAGACTAGTTCGATTTTGCCGCTGTGGCATTCAAAAACCATTGCACGCGGTCGTGACGAGACACTTTCAACCACCCCCTAAAACCACGTAGTTTGCTGCATGTAGAAAGCCATTACAAACGAATTGAATACTTTTAGAAGCTAAGTAAGTCGAATAGATCTGTGAACCTAGTACTGACTAAACCTAACCTAACTAGCTGCTCTTGGCTTTCAGGCCCTTATAACGGATCCAATAAAAAAAAAAAAAAGCTGTTGTTCTAAATACCTCTTCCGCTAGGACTAACTGATCCTTCAAATTGAGATTACCGAAATAGAAGGATCATTTTACATCTCCATATTTATTTTTTGCTGCCGCTACCAATGTTCGAGGTAGTCATAGAAACACCAACAACGACAAGAGTACACGCATTAGCCCAAGCACACAGATATGTTAGTGAAGTTACACGGGGACTGAGGTCTAATTAAGCCTCTTTCCATGTAAAGCCCACCAGTTTCTCAAGTATGTCTACTAGAAGAAATCCATGTGTCGCTCCTTGACTGGTATTGTTATTGCATTGGCTTCTTAGGTGTGCAACTACGAAGGAGAACATCATTTTCTTGGCCAGTCGCAGTTCAGTTTAGGTTGGAAGACTGAAAGGAGGCGAGCAAGCCTATCACGTTGGAGCTCTCTAATTCTGACCAATGAACTACGAGCTAAAGCTAGAATAAGATCAATAGAAATATCTCACAGAAGATACCAAAGCCACGACGAAGGCTCGACGATTGACTAGACGATGACGAGGCAGAAAAAAAGGAATATGGAAACGGTACTCGGCTTTGAGCAACCATTCTGGCTTGGTTAAAGGGAAGACTCACTTCTCTTTGGATGCAATAAAGCCGAGAGCAGAGCACAAAGACAGGCCCCACTTGCGGGAAAATGAACGGAAAGGAAGATAAAGACATAGAAAAATGATAGCAGACAAAGAAGAAAACAAGCTTTTTTAACCATCCTGGCTGAGTTACGATGGTCCACCAACGCGCTGGCTGTCCTGAGAATTGCCGGCAGATCCACGGGAATTTCACCGCCTTTACTGCACGAAGGTTCAAAAAAAGAACCTTAATCACTTAAACGCTACGGGTCTAGAGTGCAAGTAAAATACGGCGGCTAAGATAGTTGACTACTTATACGATAGCAAAACCCAAGCTTCAAGTTCCAGCAGCACGATAAGATAAGACAAGGCTAAAACAAAGTCGTGTTCGATATCTATAAGGACGTACAAGTGCGGTTGCATTATACGAGTGAGTACTACCTTCCAAAATCAGCATGATTTATAAAATAAGTTCTTGTTTCTTAGTACACAAATTACTACTTTCTTCACTTCTATAGCTGTAGTACGAAAGTATCCTTTAAGACTGCTGCTCATACTGCCCGCACTGTACCCTTCGTGGCTGCTTGTGCAGACAGAGAGTGGGCTTACGTTGAATGCCCCTGCGTGACCACGTCTTTGCGTATAAGGCTGCTCTTGGGGACCTTCCTTTGCCTCCCGCCGAATTCGACTCTATGCAGACATCAGTTCTAGTCACGTGATGAAGACGTCTCACTTCCTTCCGGCATCGGGGCACTGTCTGTCCGCCCGTTCTTTTTCGCTCGTTCTCTGTCCGTGTGGGGTCTTTGCTATCTGCATTACCGTCCCCATTCCTTCGTTCGGAAACCAACTCTCAATGGGATTCGTACGTCCCCGTTAAGCGAGCATCCCTTGGCCGACTGGCTAGCTAGCCTAAGTTGACTTGGTCTGCTGATCTGACGACCTGACTTCGTCTTTGCTTTGAGGCTTTGCAGCAGAACCGAGCCTCGACGTTACGTTCGTCTTGTTCTCCCTTTTCACTCATTCGCCTTCTTAATCAACCCGTAGAGTTTCGAAGTCCAACAATCACAAAAGCAAACATCCCTTGCTACACTACGCTGTTTGCTAGTCTCTATCCAACTCACTAGCAAACGGGCTCCAGGCTTCTCTCGGAGTCTGCTTTTGCCAGCATTTGACTTATATAGTGACAAGGTTTTCGGATATAACAGTCGTCTATTTCTTAATCTTCAGTTTTTATCAACAACATATTTGCTAAACCTACAAAAGTTCGACAAGGACATTGGCTGACCCCTTAGCTGATAATCTGAATCGCTCGATAAAAAAAAAAACTGTGCTTAGCGCATACTATGTAATATAAAGACCGGAATATGATAATGACGAACGATAATCACGCGATTTGAGGCACTTTGCTTCGATGCATGCTAATAAGGTGATAAGCGTTAGTGTCTCTTAGCTTTGAAGGTAAGACTTCTACATACGGGGAAATACTGCGGTAGTTCTGAAATCACAGTGTGACTTTTTAGAAAACAAATCTTGCCTCCTCAAGTGTGAAATGTTTGTTACTATTATGTGAATGTTAGGCCGACTGACATAGGCACTGTAAGCCTGTAATGAACCTGTCCCCTGCTTCTGTCACCTTAACGTAGTTTACTCTATATGCCCCGTACTGTGCTAAACACAATGTGTTGACACGCAACACATACTATTATATGTATCTGAGTGTTCTGCCTGCACTAAACAACTACCACAACGTGGATAGTCAGGGTAGGCGGTCGTCATCGCCAATTGAGATGGTGGGTTACACTGGGTTGCAGTGGGGGCTACATCATTAACATCATCTTGGTGGTGACACAAGCGGTGCCGTGTCTCAGTTTGCCCTTCCAGCCACCACTTAGCTCCCTTCTTCTTGGCCTCCTTTATCCCATCTCTCGTATTGTGCGTCGGGGTTGACCTGTCCGAAAGTGACTAGGCTGACGCTAGGACTAGTGCTGTCACCGCTTGCCTCTTGCGCTACACCCAGTAGCCAGAGAATGGTAGGGAACCAGCAACCCTCAGTTCAGCGAGCTCAGGCGGATAAGCCGCTTACAGCCGCAAAGGAGCGACCCTTTGCCATCTGCTGCTAACATGCCATTAGGGCTGACGCTTGCAGGACAGGTAACGAGGTCCGACAGAACAGAACCGTCGGTCCACTAGGCCATCCAATGGGCCGGAAAGAACAGACGTGAAAATAGCTTGACCACAATTAAGCATCATCTCCCATATTCCCTGCCGCGTTGGACTTCTTGGCTTGTCGCCAATGAAATGGCGAACCAGAACACCCCTAGTGGCCGGTCATAACGCCCGCTCGGGGTATCCCGTGATGGGAACAACTTTCAGGGACAACAACGACAACTTTTTCTCTATTCCACCGGACTGAATAAGGCATAAAACGGGTAATGGACTACTTTGTACCAGGTGCACTGTAAATAGCGCTTCGGCGTTCACCGGTCCACCAGAACTGTGTTCGTTCTTTGTGGAATGGTGGAAACTGTCAGCGACAATGAACGGCTAGCTCATTAATAATAACGCCAATACATACATGCTAATTGCTTCGTCATCATTTCCTTTTGCTTCTGACAAAGTTTCTTTTTCCTTAGATGTCGTTCACTAGTGGAACGGACTTTGTTTGCTGTTGGAGATGCGGAGCAATGAGTGACCGAATAACGTTGGATATTAGAGACGTGGTAAGGTTTAACATAGAAGCTATACTTGGCCATAAGGAACGTGTCTGAATGGAAATCTATGATCTGACAATGAGAAACTTAAACATAGCCAGTTACATATTGTAATACGATTGGCTGCGGTGTCCAGTGTTAGAATGACATTGGGCTCGGGTTCAGGAAAGCAGAAGGCAAGGATCATTAATCCTTTTCGGAAAAAAACAAGTTTTACATCAGAGAGATGATGTTGTACCCTGTGCAACATATCGGGATAGGTATATTTTCTAATAAGGTTGTTCGTGTTAAGGATAATTACAGCTACGCTAAAAACGCACGTACGATACCACGATGAGGGATAGTAGTACCATCGTGTAAGTGTTACGGGAACCTATATGTATGTTATAATTCGGTGCCGAAGCGGAATTGTCCGATAGTAGGTCGCAAATTAGACTGCTTCCAACGATAGTACTTATGTAATTCGAATATATTGTAATTCAAGTTTAAGCACTGCTTCAGAAAATTAATTGCTCCTTTTTTTAAGATAAAACCGATCGATATCAATCTCTATTTGAAAAAAGGCTACATATACACAAACAAATAGGCTCACAAAAATCAAATGTCACTGCTTTCGTCTTCAACATACTTAGTAGACAATAGTAAATTAGACACGTTATCTTGAACGTCATTCTGACCCTCAGCAAAAACTTGACATTCTATGTTAACTAAGCGAAATCGTGTAAGTGAATTGAAACAGAAATACTCAACAGTGTCCTAGCGTTAACTAGGACAGATTGAATGTCGAAAGAATATATGGCAGTGTTACGTAATAATATGCAGCTAGGAACATACCTTTGTGAAAACTGTCATGGATCAAAGGTCCGCCGATTGGCCGGCTGACCCTACCATTAAACTGGCTAAATGCTGCCGATCTCCGATAGATGAGATGGGGTTGTGGTTCACTCACTTCATCTGTTGTCCAATTTCCTTTCGGGCTGGTGGTATTATATCCTTTTAGTGGCTCAATGAGATAGTCCGCATCCTCCATCTGAATCAAGCCCGTCTGAAAGTATAGCAGACGACAACAGAGAAACAACAATACATTGTTATAATGTCATACTTTTTTTAGGAGTTCAACAACACTAGAGAAGTCCGGTATGACGAATGCAATATATGGTGATCGGTTTTGGTTATATTACGCTGTGTTGGATCAAGTAAGTATTTATTCAGGAAACGCCTGACGGCAATTGAAGGTTTTACTAGGTGCCAGAACTCATTTGGGTATTTTCGACTAGACCTATCTATCGCTAACTATGCACTTTCACATTCATTTTTTGCGTCTGAGAGGCAAGATCAGTCCTGTTTAGGATCGTCTAAATTTCCATGGCTGCTGCTTCACGTCTGACTTTTATTAAATTCGTTGAAGATCAAAGATCGTTCGTGTCCGTTCATTGGCTGAATCCGATGACTTCACAGCGGACAAAGGGCCAAATCCAAGAAGGCCAAATCTTTCTCTCTTTAAGTCATTCTTTTTTCGTGTGGATTTTTTTCTGTCGGGGATTTTCCACGTTGGAAGCGATCGTATTTCGGCCAAGAAAATATATAATAAATAGCCGCTAGGTCCAACATGGTCAAATAAAGCTTTAACCCTTAACCCGTCATCTTCATATTCATATATATACCGTGTGGAGCTTGGGAATTTCAACGAGCTTTGCGGGGCCCCTCGTCGTACCGAGCATGTACTCATTCGCTGTTTATGCTAGCAAAAAAAGCCAGTTCTTTCTAAAACAAAACATTAAGTTGATCAGGGAGAGAAACAGCGAGTCGTTTAGGAAGTTCGGGCGAAGATCAGCTATTGTCCACAATGCAGGACATACCTCACCAAAATTATATCTACGCTATTGCCAGTAGAATTTGCCTTCTGAAAAATCTGAGGACAATCCAAGGAGGCAAACCAGAGATTTTTTTTCTCGAAAATGTATCAAAAAGCCATTTTTTATATTCCTGCATCTTGTATACGAAAATTAAGGCAAGAAGCAAAAGATCAACTGCTAATTATGTCGGATAGTTAAGCTTTAATACCTGGCCTATCCGAGACCTCATGTACCTCTTCGCGGCCTTATATTTGTTCGCCTTTTTAAGCCGTTGCTGTTTTTGACACGTCTGCCTCGCTAACAGCCCAAAATTCAATTGCCCAAAATGTAGGTCGAGTATTTAAGCATACATTCTAAAGGGTTCACTTCTGCTAAAAAGTTCTTTGCAGATAAACGAATGAATGTTTGGGATTGACCAGTGGTTTAAGCCCTAAACTGAAAATGGAACCAAATCGAATGGTGATCATATTAAAGTAACACGATCGTAAGAGAAAGCATTTCTAGCACATGGAGAAGATTTCGTTGATATGAGTGATAAGCAAAATCCGGATAGCTGCTTTGTATCTACGCGTGTGATGTTTACGTCACTTGAAATTGGACGTCAGATCTGCACTATGGTTTCACGTCTATCACTGGCAATTTTATATGAGATAATATTATTCGCCGTCTGTGTAATTTGTATACCTTGACTTCTAACTATTGTAAAAGAACTACACAGCGATCATTCAGACAGCTAAGCCCTTTAAGCCGCTGATTCGAGTCTGCCAAACCTAAAGTACTATGCGTCACTATTACCATAATAAGACCTTTTGTTAGACGTATGTCGATAGAAAAATAGTTTTACCATTGCATACATCTATAAAAACCTATAAGAACTGCTGGTTAGGGCAAGCCTCCTAACTGGGCACGTATAAGAAACAAAGCTATGTTTTTATGATATAGTACGTTAAAAAAGAGTCATTGTCATATATATTATAGAAATATCTATCGAACTACACAGGTACGCGACTAGCGAGTAAAACGTCAGCTTGTTCTACGTTGTTTGGGACACGATTGATCCGTATGCAGAGCGAGCATGTATATGTTCCAATGTAGACGGCTGTGTGTGCACGTTTCAGGACAAGCGACGTACCTCGCTACTTACGATAATAATTTATCGCAGCACGAAAGTTGATTAAAATAGAGTGTTTTTTTTTTTTTTTAAGTATTAATTTTCACGTAAATTAGTCGGCCGTTAATCATTACGGTGAGGATTGTTTTTTTGATTGTAATAGACGGTTCGTAATCATAATGGTGGTGATAGTTATGATGAGGACTCAATGCCACTAACAAATAGCACAAATCACATTAGTAAACTCATTGTCAGCTATACTGTAATAGATGGCGCCACTTGTTGCTCGTTGATATCTCTATACACATAAAATATATATGTTCATACTAACTCTTAACTGTCCTTACATCTTGACTTAGAGGTGCATATATCTATTTCTAGACTTAAGTTGATGTAATTTTTTCTCTTTATACTGCTACAATAAGCGAAGTGGCCTTTAATTGCTGCTTTCAACTCGTTTTCATCGTGTGAGCCTGACAATCCACATAAGTTTTAGACGTTTCTCGCTTTGCTTATTCCGGGACATGATTCGTTTTAACCATCGTTCTGTTCCGAACGCAGCAAGCTACCTTTGCTGTTACTCATCAGTACTACTCATGGGACAACAGTTTCAGGCATATCGCCATCAGGCCGAACTCGGTTCGCCCGGCTCTTCTGCTCTTTGCTCGATCCATTTTAAGAGACCTTCAACCTTAGTGAACACCCTAATGCCCAATTGACCGTCCGCCCGCCCACCCACAACCATTCTTTATGAAGAGTTACGTGACTCAACGGTCTTGTCGCTTTATTGACGGTTTATGGCCTCTGTTCACGAGAGCATGTGGTGCACGTAAAGCTCTCGAGACGACGTCTGGCTGAATGGCTGGTCAGCCAGAAGATCATTGCGCTACTGCCTGGATTGTTCTCTTAGCGCACAGTGGCTAGACCGTTACACAGATTTGGCTGATCCACGGTTGTTGTTAGGGTAGCGAACCGGGTAGTCACAATAAAGAAATTCGACAGTGCCATATTTTGTTCTAATTTATTGTAGTTTTGTCTTCGCAGTACATTACACAATCGGTGAGATACGGCGAAATTCTTATGGCAACGGATCAATAGTTTTGTATTGGCGTATCAATCAGTTGTTATAACGACTCAAAGTTTTCGTATAATCAAAACTATATATATATATTCCTCCGATTGGTCGTCATGACGTATCCGTCGACCGGATTCAAAATCCATGGTATGCGTAGGCTATTCGAGGTGCATATAATACACAACAGGAGGAGTCTCATTCGTAGCGTATCACACCCAATCCAAGCTAAGAAAAGATGCATTGCACTCGTTGCTAATTACGTCACACCATACAATGCAGCTCATCGGACTGCATTACTAACGCTTACAAGCAAGAACTCAAATAATACCTTTTTCAATGCAGTAGCCTCATAACGGCTCGAAAGCATCGGGCACCGGGAGTCAATAGTCATAGTCTACAAACGAATGGCAGAATCTGCAATTGGCTGCAGTAGTGAGACGAGAAAAACGTTGATACGTAAGCTTCTTTTTATTTTTCTCCTCGTTATCGTCCTATGGCAACCCTTGGGTCGCCCGCTTTTACGTCGTGTATATATTTTCGACATTTTGGTTCGTCTCCTTATCGTTACTCCACAGCGACATCGGTGCTGGTTCCCCAGTCGCTGTCTCCGTAACTACCATTGCTTTGGTCGCCGCTACCGTCATCGGCTCGGCTGCTGCCGCAGAAGCACAGCTGCGTATCGGAAAACCCATCTTCCTCCACGACCCCAGCTGCCTTCGCTGCCGCTGGTATTGTCTGCTCCTTGCAATCCCATTGAAAGTTTGTTTCGTCCTGACTCAAATTGGCGCCTATCCTAGGTCGGTGCGCCTGTATATCCTACACCGTAAGCACTCTCTGCTTTCCTATCTTCTCTCGTTCTTTTTTTGCTCGTACAAACCTTCGAGTAGAAGACTTCGCACTTGTCGCGGCTGCGGTCGCAACCCGTTTCCGCCGGCAGCCTGCCAAGTCGCGCCCAGCAGGCGAGGTGGCATTGGCAGTACCGACTTTCTGTGGCAGCAGACGGTCTGATTTTGTCTCGAACGTTACTCCGTACAACTTTCGCGTTTCTTTCCCCTATCCACTATGGCAGCGACAGAAACGGAGCGTTGGGAACCCTCAGTGAGCTATGGTAAACGAAAGAGTAAGCAGGCAGGAAGGCAGTCTCGAATCACATCACACACACATTTCTGTGCGTCCTTTTTCCTCGCGCTGTTCAGGCGTTCCTAGTATGAGTAAGACTCGCGCCTCACCCGCGCTAGGGGTGAGGCGCGAGAAACTGGCTGCCTCACTCTTTTGCCACTCATTCACCACGAACGGTCTTCCTCTTAGGAAAGGAGGTGGATTGGAAAAAGGTACAAAAGCCGCCTTCCATCGACAAGTAGTCCCGCGCGACTTGTCCAGCAGCCAATCTTCTATGCCACCTCCTCGTCGACAACCTGGAAGAATCTTTTTTTAATCAATCTTTCTCTTTTTTCTCTTGCTCTCCTTCTGAGCTCTCTCTTTCATCCTCTTTGTTCTGGATTCCCAATCGCTTCTGTGAATTGTACGTCCCCTTTAGGTCGTCCACAAAAGTCGAAAAACGTTCATTTCTCAAATCATCGTATCCTTTCTGTCGCCTAGAGTCTCTCTTTCAAACCGCGAGTGCGAGCCTGCCGAATCATGCGTGGTAGCTATCCAACCATTTCCCGTGGTTCTCCATCGCGTAGGATAGGGCGAGCTCTTTCTCCGTTTTTGGCCCTCGTGCCATCTCCGCTGCATATCTTTTCATATCCGCCTCATGTCTTTTCAGTTTCTTTGCTTCTTTCTTTTACGTGCTGTCAAGGGGTTTCGACACGGTTCCACGTCCAGGAGCGACAAGGCCGCCTGCACCTGTTTTCATAAAAAGACGATGAGGACAAGCTGCATGATAACGTAAAACCTATTTATACAGCGCTATAACTTTTATACGGTTGTTGGCTAGCTGCATAACTGGAGGATGGCTGCAGAAAAGTACGAATTTAGCTTTCTCTTCGGCTTGCCTTTGT